CGACCATTTCTGGCCGGCAACTTTCAGCATCATTAAGCCGCTGCGCCACCGCGTCCCCCTTGCTTAACCATAGTTTATTCAATTAACCCAATTTTCTAAGTTCACATGATACACTGAACATTAAAGCTAATCACATGGATTAGGTTTGTATAACATGCTAAAACATGATTGGCTAGCTTGCAGTTCATCCAAACACTTGTTAAACTTAATGAAACCCACATAATGACCTTTTAAATTAATCACAGTGCTGAAAAGAACTTAGGTAATTCATTAAACCTCCTACCAGTTCAGGAAATCTTTTGCTCCGGCATCCATTGTAAGTACTTATTCAGCCTCTTTTCAAAAACCCACAATGGAGAAAAACATGATACAACGTTCAGAGATAATCTAGTCTACCATCTACAACTGTTTCCATCTACAGTTCTTTCTAAGGTGTAGTTAAAATTCCCTTTTAATTCGCACTAATGGATTCCAGTCTTATGTTCTGGAATACTAGAAAATACATTTTATCTATTATCTATGTGAAAGCCTTTGGAATGATTACACAACAGGGGCATTTGCAGGAGGATGGTTAAAAAGTCAGGATGGCTCTGACATATGTATAAAGGATGTGGGTTCTATCATATGGCTAAAGTCACCATTTTGACTTTTTTGATCCACCTGGATACCCCTGTTACACAATTAAAAAGTTTCTCTAAACCTACTGGGGTTTATTTTTGAATAGATCTGTATAAGATAACACTGACAGATCATCACTCTAAACACATTATGTAAGAGTAAGTTCAGCTGAACTCAATGGAAACTTCAAACAGACTGCTAGCACTAGTAGTAGATAAATCCCATTAGTGAACACAGTGACTGTGTTTACCCAACATACTTACTCAGTTAACCAATTTTCTGGGTTTCTGCAGCACGTTGAACCACAAGCTAACTTCATGAGCTCTGTTCACAAATTGCACTAGGCTAAAGTGTGAGAACGCTTACAGTAGCGTGTTCAGTCAAAAAAACAAAGAAAGCCATTCAGTAGATATCACAACCTGTAAATGCTGGGAAGGAATGCATCTTTCCAGCAGGTGTACTTCAATTAGCTCTTGCTAAATTGCCCTATGATGGACAAATCTTCCCTCCTTTTTATGTAGAGACCCTATCCATTTTATATTTCTTTATCCAACCACAAATAAAGGTAGACTTTATTTCATGCCCCAGAAAAGTTTTGTTTTTTAATTTAACTAAGCTCATCTGAAAGTTTGGCTTCTATGCTTTGCAGATATGGGTGTGAGATCAGTGTTTTAATGTTTCACCACAGTTGGTCTTAAACACAGTGCAGTTTGGAAAACTACATATCCCCACTGTGAGAGCACTGGGTTACACAAATATTGTAAATTCCCTAGTGCCTTTAATCTCTAAGGCAGGGTTCCTCAACCTTGGCAACTTTAAGACGGGTGGACTTCAACTCCCAGAATTCCCCAGCCAGCCTTGCTGGAATTCTTCTTGCTGGGGAATTCTGAGAGTTGAAGTCCACCCGTCTTAAAGTTGCCAAGGTTGAGGAACCCTGCTCTAAGGGGTCTTTGCTGTCCAAGGAGAGAGGGACCCCCAGGTAGAGCCAAAGAATAGGCTATTGTAGAGGTAATGGAAGATGATACCTTTCTGCCACCTTGTGGCAAATGCACATAATTAAAAGGTGCAATTCAAAAAGCAGCTTTGTTCCTTCAATGCCCAGAAGAAAATCTTATGTTTTTAATTTACATTCAGTAAAATATTTTGTGTTGATGATGCTCTACAACAGGACATTTTCTCTAACACTTACTTAGATTGCAACAAGCATAAATTGTATCATGTTTAGTAGTTTCATGTGTAATGGGGCTGCCTTTGAAGGCTCCCAGAAGCTTCAACCGGTCAATGCAGTGACACAAGTGGTAATGGGCATGCCTCCCTATGCCCATGTAACACTTCTGCTACACAAGCTGCACTGGTTGCCATTTGCTTCCAGGTGTGATTCAAGGTGCTGGTTGCCACTTACAAAGCCCTACAGGGCATAAAGCCTGATTACTTAAGGGACCAGCTGTCTCCCATAGCATCTGCTTGACCAATTTGATCCTGCAAGGTTGGCACACTCTGGTTCCTTCAATTAAATAATGCTATCTATCAGGACCCCAGAAGTTGTGTCTTCTCTGTCGCAGCACCTGCCCTCTGTAATGAGGTTCCCCCCAAGATTCGGATGGCCTCCTCTCTGCTGTTGTTTAGAAGAGCCATGAAGATCTGGCTCTTCACCCGGGCCTTTGACGAGGGAGAGTGAGACCCCTCACTTCATTCCATCTGGTCTGTCACACTTGCCATCTTTTACCTTTAACTGATTTTATTGTATTTTTTTTTGTTTGTGAGCTGCCCAGAATCATTGGGAGTCAGGCAGCATACAAGTTTAATAAATAACATAAATAAATGTTGAGGGTTTTTTCCACTGATCTCTGATTATCAGCCCAAATGTTTTACCAATGAAACCTAGTATGGCATAATGGTTAGAGTACTGGGTCTGGTTAACAGAAAGTAAATGTAAGTAGGCAGATGGGTTGGGATTACAAATCCTGGAATTCCCAACCAGCAGAGGAATATCCTAGGTTTGGGAAGGCTGGCATATCCTCAGTGTCTGCAGTTTTAATTCAGTCTCTCTCATTTCGTACATGTGACATCCACATCCATGACTAGGATTCCCAATAATTATTGTGGTTATTTCTTCAGAACTAAGATTAAACAAAATTTTGCATGCCACTTTCTCTATCCTGTTTTTTTTTAACATATTATTTCAATAACAAATCTGGATTGAAACTTTCAATAGAAAGCAGTAGCCAGCCTGCAGTAATATATGTATATATTATGGGTGTTTTGAAACACCAATTTACACCTTGAGTCGTTATACTTTGGTGGCACGCATTTCAGTCGTACCCTCAATAGTGTCAAAACTGTTTGGCCTCTGTAACTGCCTTTTCCCTTTGAAAGGCAGAATATTAAAAACTTAGAATAAAATCCTACGTATATTTGGCAGAGTGAGTGATCTCCCACTGGACTTTTAGACAGAATTTTAATCATGCTAATTTATTTTTTACTTCTAACTTATTAAAGTAGTATTTACCTGTATTTTCTAAACTATCCTGAAAATATTATTAAATCAAGGTAGAAAATACTTATAATTAATAGGGCTGCATCCTGTACACAGTCCCTTGAAAATACGTCTTACTGGAAGGCATTCTCCCATGTTTTTTGTTCTACATTATTTATAGTTTTTAACTGGTTTTAATTGTATTTTAACATTTTGTTTTTTTAATTGTTTTGATTCTTTGGGTTTTGTTATTTTAATCACGTGCACCACCCAGAGTTACTTATGTGAGATGGGCGGCTTTATAAATTTAATAAATACATTTATTTAGAGAGATTTGATGAAACATACCAAAGACTGCTGAGAGGAGGACCAGACCCCACAGCTTCACCCAGCCATCGCGGAGAGAATACAAAACCTGTCTTAATATGGTTTATTGAGCGTAAGGGTCTGCATATAAGGCCAAGCCACGATGAATGGGTTCACCCATCACATGAAGTCACCAATACCCATTAGGACTGATCACGACTCGCAGCGGCGGGTGTAGCTTTGGAAGACCGCCTTACGGACTTGAAATTTAGGTCGGCCCCGCCCGTACCCGGGTGTTGCCCCCAAATGCGACCGAAGAGCACCCCAACCGCTCCGTAGCGACCAGCGCTCGGCTCGGCTCGGCTCTGCTCCTCTCTGCCCAGCCATCGCTTCGCCACTGGCGAAGGGCCCCTTTTCCTCGCCGTAGCTCGCTCCGGTCATGTGACGAGAGCCACGTGGCTCGGGACGGCGTGATTAGCTGGGCCTCAGAATCGGCGCTCACGTGGATGAGCGGCTTCCTTCCCTGCCGTGACCGGGGCGCGCTGAGCTCGAAGTGTGGCGCGGGGGACGATGAGCGGCGGACGGCGGAAGGAGGAGCCGCCGTCGCACCCGCACTCGCAGCAGCACCTAGTGGCCAACGGTGGGGGCGGTGTGTCGCGGGCCTCGCTGTGGAGCAAAGCCTTGCGGAGCGACTCCGCTTGGGAGGACAAGGTGGGGCCTAGACCGGGTCGCAGCACACCGGGCCGGCCGGGTCTTTCGGGAGGGCGCGCCTTGTGCTCGCAGGCGACGGGCTGGTTTTGTGGGGGCCTTGAGGCGGGGACGTTCTCTGTGGGGGCTTGCAGCGGTGGGGAGACTGCTTCGTCAGTTGGCCCTCCTAAAGGTCACAACGCAGCCCTGCGTTGGCGCAGTTCGGGAGGCAGAAACGGGGCATGCTGGTTTGTGCCCTGAGTTACTGGGCGGGATGGAAGATGCGGACGTTGGATCCCACCAAGGCTGATGTTGCCTGCCCAGAAACCGTTAGGGTTGGTGTCAGCCCCTTTGCTGGCGTGAGGCGGGGGTCCCAGTTTCCCCTCAGGGAGCAGTTCGGTAACCTGCTGGTTCTCCTAGATTCCCAAGTGATCAGCAGGTGGAGAGATGAGGCGTGCCCTTATTATCTTGACACTGGATTGCAACAATGTGCCCTGCTTGAGACTCTGTTTGAAGATGATTAGGAAATTGCAGTTGGCCCAGAATGCATCAACCCACATGCTGGCAGGTGAGAGACATTTAAACTGGGCAAAACCTATATTCTGGGTGCTGCCTTGGCTGCCAGTCTGTTTCCAAGTACACTTCAGAGTGCTGGATTTTACCTATATGACCTCAAAGCCCCATCTTTGTTGCTCCCAGGACCTTCTTTTCCAAATAGAACCTTCCTATCTTGTCCAGTCAGCCTGGAGAGCAATACTTTGGGTTATCCCCTTTCTCCCTGGAATGTCAGAGAAAGCTTTTTGTGAGGCCTCCCCAACCTTTTGGAAGACACTGTCCGCACCCCTAGATGGGGGTCTAGATGGTCCCCAGACTTCTACAGTTCAGGAAATCATGAAGGCTTTGCTCTTTCTCCAGACTTTTATGGCTTGAGGCCCTTATTTTGTTAGGCTATCTCTAAATAGTTCAACTATATTTTAATTATGTTGTCTTCATTAATTGTTTTTAGGATGTTTATGAGAAGCAGTTTGGTGTAGTGGTTAAAGTGATTGGGGTAGAGACTCTGAGTTCTAGTCCTGCCTTAGGCATGAAATCAGATGGGTAACTTTGGGCCAGTCACTCTCAGCTCTAGAAAGAAGACAATGGCAAATATTTTTTTTTAACAATATAGGCAAGAAAACTGCATGGACTTATCCATGTAGTTACCAGGAGTCAAGACTGACTTGAAGGCATTAAAAAGGGAGGTATTTATAATATTTATGTAAGCTTCCTGGAGTTTGTAGAATTGAATGAGATATATTTTAGAAAAATAAATACAATTAAGTTAATTTTGCATGCTGTGGTTCATTTAACCAGGAGTTAGCTTCTCGTCCAAACGCAGTTTTGGTGTTCTTCAGTGTTAATTTAGTTGATTTAAGCAACTAAGATTTTTAAAGCGGGGTGGGGGGGGGAGTTTGAAGGACAGTCTAGATATTATTGAAGCTAAAATCTTAGATTACTCAAATTACAGCTTAGCATGATGAGTAATCCACAGTTGGCCAGGTTTACAAAACACAAAGGCAGGAGCATCGCTTCACAAATTACAGTGGCTGGAGTCATGCAATATACTAACTGGAAACCAAACAAAGTACATTTAATCTTATGATGATGTGTAAACCTTGCTATAGAGCTACGCATATATAGTGTAATGGGTAGAAGGAATAACCTTGAGGAACAGGAGGAAGAACTGCTACCAAGACAATGGTCATATAAAAAAAATCTGAGTCCAGGGCAGAACTGTAACCTGAGAAAATATCTGAGACAAGACCCATCCTAGTTCTCACGAAGATAAAGGGAGAGGGGGAGGAAGTGCATTCAAACTTGCAAGATTCTGTTACCATAACCTTATAATAAAAGTAGTATTGGCCTGTGTGAGTTTATTTCTAGTCTAGTCTACCTTGAAGGGCTGACATATAGTCATAAAATGTGGGAGGAGAATACAGATATTCAAATTAAGCTCCTAAAACTCTGTGATAGTTTCTTATAAGTTCTGCTTCACTATTGTGAAATAAAATATGCTGTCTTGGAATCTGTCTTTAAAACCAAGCAAACTGTCCTATGGTAGAAAGTACATCTTTTTCCCACCATTTCATGGCAAGTGGAAGTTCTTCATTCTCATCCATTCCTGTGAGTGATTGTGTGTGAGTAAGAGATACATTATCTTATATTTTTCTTTCCCAAACAGAAGAATTCAGGCTGCTTGATCAGCCCATTTGTAAATCAAGTGAAATTAGAATGCCATAGAGGTTAGTGTCCTGATTTTAACTTACAGAATCCAAGATTTAAATCCTGACTTGGCCATGAAGCTGAGCAGATACCTCAGTAACCCAATCCACCTCACAGAATTGTTGTGAGGTTGAAATAACTTATCTGAGCTCCTTGAAAGACTGGTGCTTAATAAATATGCCATAAAGGATGTAAATATACACCTTTTACTCTGAACCAAGGATTTGAGATATATTTCCAGCTAGGATTGAAATAACTGCAGGTGTTTAATTCCTGAGTCTCCTTTTAGTTTTTCAGACTGTATATCTGAGACCTTCTCTCAAAACATTTGTATAATTCTTTTCAATTATGAAGTTGAAATATCTTCAGAGCTTAGATTTGCTATTACAAGAGGAGATATTCCTCTACATGTGTTGAATGTGAATTATGGTTCCATATGAATTTGATATTGTTTCTTCTCTGCAGGATGAATTTTTAGATGTCATTTACTGGTTCCGGCAGATCATTGCTGTTATTTTGGGAGTGATCTGGGGAATTGTTCCACTGAAGGGATTTGTGGGTATAGCAATGTAAGTTTATTTCTTCTTGCATGTTTTTAAAGACTGAAACATTGATGAAGTTGAAACAGTTAAGATGAGGGATATGTACTTGAAGTACAGTACATGGATTTTGTATTATAAATGTATTTGAGCTTGCAAAGTTTTCTCAAAGCAGTTTGTGGGAAAGATACAGAGAGCTTCTTATGTTTAGTACAGAGGGAACATACATCAGAGCATCAAAAAGGGTTTTATGAAAAAAAATGGCTACATTGCATTAAATAAAGAAAATATAGGTTAAGAAAACACATCATTGATTTATCTGAAAATATAAAACATTTGTCTAGAAGCTTAAAATGTGTTATTTATTCCTGAAACCTAAATTTATGGCTCTGCTGGAAAATTATATAGTTGTCTAACAATATGAATTCATTTTCTAGCTCTGACAAGAGATGATAAAAGGGACATAATATCTTAATTACTGTTAGTAATTAAAGCACCATGAGGCATTCTTGCAATTGTATATGTTTTCCTTAAATGACACAGAGATTTTAAGTGGTTTGTTTGCCTGATAGGAGGAAAATGAAATACTTCCAGTTACTGCTTCTTAATCTATTTATAGACTCATTTATCTGCTTCTGGCTTAACTTTATTTACTGGGTTATGATAGGAAGAAGAAAGAATATCATCTTCCCTTCTTGAATGGAGGCATTCAAGCTGATTGGTCAGTCCAAGTTTTTAACAAAGTCAGAGTAGTGTAGGTTAGAGGGTGTCTTAGCAGAATTCAAAGTTCAAATTTGGGGGGGAGGGGTTGAAACTCACCTGAAATTAACACAGAACAGCAAGAAGATCATCAGAATCTTTGATTCCACATGCATACTAGAAATTCAGTTTTACTTTCTTTCTGGATTTAGTGCCACATATTGCTTTTAGAGCTTTAAAATAGGTTATATCTTCAGAATCTACTGTCCTGTTTTTCAAATTTTACATTGTTAAAGGTTTAATGCATGGTGCATTCAGGATTCTTGTTTGAGGCAGATTTGTGAAGGGACACAATCTGTACCTCTATATTTAATTTTATTTGTGAAAGACTGATAATAATAAATAGTATCTTAATTTGTAGTAGCACCACAGTGGGCAGTGGGGGGGGCATGCATTTGTGGCTTTATTGGGTTAAATAAATATAATTTTATTAGATTGAGCTAAAAAAATGGGAAGTAATAAGGAAAATATTTTTGTTTCTCCTTGAAATTCATTAAGTTGAATAAATTATTGGTTTTCCCTTGTTAGGTAGTTATTAGCCTAATACACTGTGTACTCAGAAGTAGCTCTGCCACAAGGAGGGGCAAAGATAATTATCTTGTCAGCATATTTGGAGTGGGAATATTTAAAAAAAAAAGAGGGCAGCTAACCCATGAATCACACTCAACAAGTTTCCCCACAAATGCTTCATTAAAATGAATAGGAGCTGCTGTTAATTTCAGTGAAGTTCAAACAAGAAAGCTCCTTGAACATACTTGATATCTTCACATTGTAAGTTGAATGATGATGTCCAACATCTCTCTTTTTTCCTCTCTTCCAGATTCTGTCTCATAAATGCTGGAGTCCTATATCTCTATTTTAGCAGTTTTCAGCAAATAGATGAAGAAGAGTATGGTGGAACATGGGAACTAACAAAGGAAGGCTTCATGACATCTTTTGCTTTGTTTTTGGTAATTTATGTTATTTGTTCATAGACTGCTGACGCTATGCACAGTGCAAAACAAGAGGTAGATCATCACACCAAGAAACCTTAAAATCTTGTAACTAGAGGGAAAACAAATTGAGATGAAATTAAGAAATGTAAGTGACATATGAGTAAAATGATGGATATTATTTCCCCTGCTAAGAATTTAAAAGGCAAATGAATAGGTTTTAGAAAATAGTTAGAATCCAACATCACATGAGCAAACTCCCAGTTGCAATATAGCATTTTTTCTTCCCTTCAGCCCAAAATTTCCTCCAGAAGTGTTCCTAATGTTCTAAGTTATATTTAGAGGATGGGAACTATAGAGAAAAGGGGAATCTGTTCTGCTGATGGCTGTGTGTTGTTGGTGAATTAATCCAAAGTACTTAATAATAAAACCTTTCATGTTTCTGCTAATTTATACTGAAAAGTATATGTGTCTGTGCATGTATGAATGTAGCGAAAGCTTTCTTAGCTGCCCCCTATTCTGGTAAGCAGTGTAATATCTGCCCATGAACAACCAAACTTTTGACCAAGTCTTTCTGATAGTTTTATGTGCAAGGTATTTATTTATTTTATTTATTTATAGGTCACATTTATATAGCTGCCCATCTTGCACAAAGCGACTCTGGCAACATACAACAATTAAATAAAATAACAAGTGGATAGAAACAAGCATTATAAAAAGATAAAAAGTTATTAAAATAAAAACATTATCACACATTTTTAAAAATTTAGATTTTAAAATATATAAACCACAAAGAAAGAGCAGATATATATGCCAAGGTATACCATTTAATAGGGAATGTTATAAGCATCACCGTTAATCTGCAGTCTAAAGTAATACAGAGAAAGAAAAGTTTTGGCAGTGATTCTGTTTAGGGCATAAATTGACCTAAATAGTTGTGGTAAGAAGATAGCACCTACATTCTTTCTCAAACATGTACAGTTAGTTTATAATATCTCAGAGCTTCTGGATGGATAACAAAGGTTTTGATTGCAGACGTTTATTCTTTATACATAAAGTATCCAGTTTCTAGCATTGTATCATTGGTTTATTCAAGCTCTCATACATAAATTTAAGAAAAATAATGGGAGTTCTCAAAAGGGGTGCAACAATATTTTGATTTTGAAATATTTTAAGCCCATTCCACTCTCATAATTGTTCCAATCTTAGCAAAGTGTTCTGACTCCCAGATGAATCATTCCAAGTGCTAAAAGGTCAGAATGGTCCCTTTTGAAGTGATAGTATTCAAAAAGGTTTAGAAAAGCATATTAGCATTTCTGATAGGACAGGAATGAGATGTTTCAGAGTTAGAACATTTTGACCTTGAGACAGTTTTACATTTGTCTTATCCGCTAGCACTAAAAAGTAGCGAAGCTTTCTGACGTTAGTCCTAAAGTTTCTTTCTGGTCCTTTATTGTAGTAGTGTTAATAGTGCAATCTTATCCAGAAAGAGGAAAGCAAAATACATTCATGCTTACGATTTGGTAAAGTTTAGATCCTTTTCTGATTTGTTCTTATCTGTGCTTCATTTCAGGTTGTCTGGATAATCTTCTACACTGCCATCCATTATGATTGACAAACTCAGCCAAATCGATTGTCTTAATTGAGGAACACTTTAAGAAACACCTTTGGCCTGTGGGGAGTAGCCAGTTTTTATACCCCTGGTCCAAGGAGATGCAACATGTCTTATGGATTCTAAGAAGAAAAGTTTGATCAGTCTTACTTTAAAAAGTTGTTGCTTTTCCAGAACTTAAAAAAAGCCATTACAATGTTTTGCAGACAGCACAAGACTTTTCAATCTTTCAGCCCTCTTGGTGACTTTATCCAATATGGCGATGACAAATCTCTATATCCAAAAAGGGTGATTCTGTTAATTAATTTGCGCCGATTATCTTGTTCTCTTTGAGACTGATTCGGATTGTGACTTGTCTTCCATTCGTAAGACATACTAAAATGGTAGCCATCATGAAGCATATGGCAGGAGCAGAATTCTGCTGAATGTATTGTAGAGCATAGATTTTGATGGTTCTCTTAGCTTCTTTTAAGAAAATTAAAGCTCTGATCTGATTGTATTAAGTACTAATGTCTTTAAATGGTTCATCCAGGGTTTTAAAATTTTGATTGCTTAACAATGTAATAAGCATAATCTTCAGATGGTTTCCTAATATTTTGGGATTTTAACTCTTTATTGAGAAGTGCGAGGCTTTCCTAGCTTGATTAGGGAACTTTCCAAAACAGTTGCAGTGATTTAGGAACATCTTAATATATTGGTTAGCTAACCAATTCAGTTTCTAGAACCTACCTCAGAGTCCAGTGATCTAAATGCACAAAATAAGATGCTTCAGAATTCAATTACTTTGGGATTGTTATAGGTTTTTGAAGCTGAAACGTAATACAGAATAACTAAGGCAGCTAATGTCTTGTACATAAAACTAATTTTCAGATAGGAGTAGATTGAACTTCAGTGTTGATCTTTATGATTATTAAAAGTATCAGAATGAAAAAAAATGCTACTAATTGTACACTAATTAGGCTACTTATGAGTTTTAATTATACTGTCTCAATCATTTTTAAGATATAAACTGTCTATATGAGTATTTAATTATTTCAAGGAGAGGCTATTTCCTATCTTAAGTTAATGTAAATAGACAGAAAATGGAGTTGTTCATTAAGACTGCCTTACAGTAAGAATCTGTTTTGAGTCCTAATATGCTGTGGATAAATTTCCAATTCTTTGTACTCCTCTTGAACTCTAACTTTGCATACTTGATTTCATAAGTAGCTTTCCATGCATTCTCTTTCAGCATTGTCAGGTGTGTCTTCCTTTTTCTGTTCCATTCAGCTCTGTTCAGTTTTAACATCAGGGAAGAATTCAGCCACAGAAGATGAAAGGCAAAACTACTAAAGGTTGGAGAGCCTTAGCAGAGGTTTCTCTTGCAGTTCTTCATTGCCAATTTCTTAAGTGTTGTCTCCTTCAATTTGGGGAGATACTTAGACATTTTGGTATTTGCTAACCTTAAGCTGCATTTCTCAATCAGCAGCGGGGGGGGGGGTTCCCCCCCAAAGCTTAAAGCTTGAGTCATCCACCAAATAAGTAAATCATTTTATACATGGAAGATCACTAATAAAGATCACTTTAAGAAGCTGGTGTAATGCTTTTTTATTGATATTGCCATTCTTTTATTTTAGATAATATTAAATCTTTTGTGGCTGCTTTGGCCATTAAAGTAGATGAATACTTGCTTTTAAAAAAGAAGGCAGCATGGCAGTTTTTTGTTAAGAGATCTGGCAATAAATATGCATGCTTGTATTGGAGGATCATTTTGGTGTGCCTTTTATTTTGGAGGTAGTATCTTAGATCTTAAAATCCATGAAAAGAGTTATTCCTCTTAAGTCACATAAGAGATTCTCTTGGGGTCCCATAAAATTGTGTTGAGTGTCGGGGAAGAGTTGGAACAAAGGAGATTGCATCTTTGGAAATATTCTCCCCCCTACTCACACACACATTAGCAGACTTGCTCTTTGATCCAAGTCATTGTTTCCTGTGCTAAGTATTGGATTTAGTCTCTGCTGTGCTTCCATCACTTAGTTTCTGCAAAACATTTCACAGATCAGAGATTAGGGACTGAATTTGCACATCCACTTGACATGTTGCAGGATATCAGTCATAGTTGTACTATGGTCAGTTATACAGAGAAAAATATCTAGGCAGAAGCATCTTAGCTATGTAGCAAACATTTATTCAAGAACTTGTGTAAGAGTTCTCCCATATTAATGGAAGCAACCAACATTTCAGTAAAATAACAGGCAAAAAACCTATCAGCTGTTTGGAGGAAATGCACAGCTCAACAAGCTACCGCTAAAGCTCGGGAGTCTCAGCAGTGTGCAACATCAAATAAAATCCTTCAGTTTCTATAAGAATATTTGCATCTACTTAGCACACTCATGGGATTCAATTCCTGTTTTCAGGAGCTGCTTTCGGTGACGGTAGCCTGAAGTAAAGCCAACTTCTTTGCTATTTTTCTTTTCAAGCCAACTTACAGTACGTATTACAGTGAATTGAGCGCAGTCTTAGAGGCTGTATGTTTTCACACCAAGGATATTGTGATTATCTTTATTTCTGATACAGTCCACTGTTTGTAAACATTTATTTCATACAATTAGAGACTCTGAGATTCAGTCAAGAAACTTGCACTGTCGCTTCGAAAGTTAACTTATCTAGGCTCTTCTGAACTCTGGTTGTGTAATGCATAACTTGGCTTATATCTTGGCTTCAGCTAACAGGTGACTTTGGATCTGGTTCAGCCTATACTTGGAAAACAATTAGTTGCTAAGAGAGTTGTTTGGAACAGAATTTCATTTGATGTGCTTAGAACATTGTCCTTGCTGTTATATCTCATTAGGTATTTACTTGGAAAGAGCAGTATTATTTATATAAATAAGAACAAGAACCAAAATCACTGACAAAAGGAGATGTCATCTAACGGTTGAAAGCTGGCATAATTTAAAGTATACGTTCACACAATTGGCATGTGATGGGACTTTCATGCATATGACATTTCTGTGTATAGTTAGTTCCACTTTGGATTCCTTTTGCACAAAGGCAGTTTATATGCATACGTTAATATAAAACTCCCTTAAATCTATCAGCTGAATTTTTTAGTGTTTGCATATACCAACAGTGAAAGCAATCTGAATAACAATCCAATTTAAATAGTCTATATAAAACTGGTAAAGCCTCCAACTGAAAATTTATTGGCCAGGCAACCAAGATTGCTGCTCACCTTGATTGGCATTGCATTTTCAATACTGTGACCAGCCAGTTAAGGGTATTCCTCCAAATGAATATTCCCACTTTTCACTCAGTTGTTATAGTATAAGCAAAGTTCACATTGGCAGCCTGAGATAATGGTTGTTTTTTTCTCTTTATAGCCACGTTTGTAGCATAAGATCATAAGTTGGGTTGAAGATGGGCTCACAAGAATGCTAGATGAGATCAGCCCCAGAGTCCTGAGAGGAAGGCATCTCCTGTAGTTGGTGAAACAGGAGGATTGCAGCATTCAAACAAGTGGCTTTATAGAACCCAGGCCAACATCTATAATTTGGAGATAGATGATTTTGTAAATCAGTAGCTTTTGACCGTGTGAGAATTTGTACTTCTATCTCCTAAGCATGTTTAAAATTGTCTTCTCTAAGATATACCACCAAGCATAAGGAAATCTTAATTTCTGAACTGGTATCTGTAAGAATTGTGCTTTGGCTCTTGATACATAAAGTTGTAAACACCACAGAAGTATCTTCTAGATAATGTGTTCATCTGATTAGGATACACAGTAGCAAACTCTTCAGGTGACATAGCCAAATAATCACCGATCTGAGGGCAGACCTTCACCATAGGAATATTTGTTTTTGTCTCATCCCCTAAAAAAGAAAAAATCAGTTTAAATATAGATTTAAGAGAAATCATGAAAAGAGTAGCTAAAGGAATTCTAGAGAGGTATGTAATTCAACAGGATGTAATCAGGTCAAGAAATTAACTCTGGTCAAAATGTGCTATTTGTGACCTGTGGCTCATGAAAGAGAGTAGTTCATATAAGACATGCTATACTAGGTTTGTGATCCTGATATTAAACAATCAAGTTTAATTAACGTGTATCAGGCTAGCCTAATGTTATTGCATGCAGTCCAAAATCAGTTGCATGAGCACCGTATTTCATTTTTAAATAAAAACCACCTTCATACAAGAATTATGAAAGCTATTTTCAGGGTAAAACCAATCATGTATATTGCCAAGATGCAAAAGCTGGAGGGAGAGGTGAGAAAAATGAATCTTTGGATGAAAAAGACAAGTTTTTAGAGGCCTCAGATGAATGGGATCGCCTTAAGATTGAAACAAAGGCATGTGGAAGCATCCTTGAAGCTG